AGATGGTTTTACTAACCTTGAAAAATTAAATCTGATAATCAAGGAAAGACCATCCAGTCCTTAAAAAGGTAGAAAATGAGAGAGGGAGAGCAGCCCAAAATATTCTTAAATACTGAATCCCTTAACAAAGCAGAAACTAAGTGTATCTCATTTCCATACCATGACCCAGAAAGCTGTCTTCTCAAAGCCCATATTGGCATGTGGTTTAATTTAAAAACCTGGGCTTCTGGAGGTGGAGGTTGCGGTGAGCCAAGATTGCACCACTGCACTCCAGCCTGGGCAACAACAGCGAAACTCAGTCTCAAAAAAAAAAAAAAAAAAAAAAAAAAAAAAAAAAAGCAAAGCAGAAATCAAGTGGGGGATCTCATTTCACACCATGACCAAGAGAAAATGCTTTCGTGCCAGACATGGTTAATTTAAAACTGGCTTGGAGGTGAAAGCCAGGTGAGCACACACTGTACCTGACAGATTCCAGTCTGGGCAGCAACAATGAGCACCGCCCTGTAAAAAAAAAAAAAAAAAAAAAAAAAAAAAAAAAAAAAAAACAACCTGGGCTTTGAAATTCAGAGTACCAGCCTGTGTTTTGGTAACTATGTAATCCTGAGCACATCCCTTAAACAATTTCAAGCCACATTTTACTCTCTAAGATATAAGGATAGTATCAACTACCTCAATGGAGTCGTTGTGATTAATAAGAATGTAATTAAAGTGCTTAGGAAGGACAGCTTCCATATCAACTTAATATGTTCCAAACTAAAAATGGCTAGACTATCCACATATATTAAATCAAGTTAAATTTCCCTAGCCCACAGGGGATTTTTTTTTTCTCTTTTAATAGAGACAGGTGCCCTGTTGCCCAGACTAGAGTTCAGTGGTGTGACTTGGCTCAATGCAGTCTCAACCGCCTGGGCTCAAGCAATCCTCCCACCTCAAACTCCCCGGTAGCTGAGACTACAGGAGGACACCACCATGACTGACTAATTTTTGTATTTTTTGTAGGGACAGGGTTTCACCATTTTGCCCAGGCTGGTCTCGAACTTCTGAGCTCAAGGGACCCACCCATGTTGGGGGCTTCCTAAAGTGCTGGGATTATAGATGTGAGCCACCACACCCAGCACAGGATTTTTTTTTTTTTTTTTTTTTTTTTTTGGAGACAGGGTCTCAGTCTGTCACCTAGGCTGGAGTGCAGTGGCGCGAGCTTAGCTCACTGCAACTTCTGCCTCGCGGGTTCAAGCGATCCTCCTGCCTCAGCCTCCTGAGTTGTTGGGACTATAGGCGTGTACCACCACACCTGTCTAATTTTTGAATTTTTAGTAGAGACAGGGTTTCACCATCTTGGCCAGGCTCCACAGGATAATTTTTAACAGACATCCCACTGAACTATTTCATGGAGAATCATATTCTGTTATTAATACTAGTTTCAACTGACCTTTTTATTTGAAATCAATGGTTATCAACCCCAACAGATTTAATACTCTTTTTATAAGAAATGTTTTGATATCCATAGTACCATACTATAAGGAAACTCTACACACCAATCTATAACCAATCTATGCACATATTTTGGGGGGAAAATATAAGGCCCTTTGTGTAATAAAGGAAAAGGCAGTCAAAAAAAAACATGTACTTTAGATTATAAATACTCAGGTATGACTATATAAGATATAAAAAGTAGCACCTAGATCCAAATCTGTGAACCTAGAGCCTTCCCGCTACCCCAGGGCTTAAGGATGCCCGGCAAGTGCCTGGGCTAGACACCAAAGTAGTACCACAGCATACTACTGGACACACTTTGCTCTCCTTCTCAGTTTGGTCTGTACATTGTACTTGAACCCAGTTTTGGTTTTTTGTTGTTTTACATCCTCAACAGTTGTCAGAACACAACATATGGCTTCTGAAACATTCAACAAAGAACAGCAAAAAAATGTCAACATAACCTGTTTCCATGATTATTTCCTACTATTGTATTCTCCTTCCCTGCTCCATACATGCCATGTCCCAGACTAATAGTTCTCAAGCCTGGTTTTAAAGCAGAATCATCTAGGGAATGTTTTAAGAATACTGACCATGGGCCCCATTCCTAAAGGTTTTGTTTCAGGTGGTTCGGGGCAGCCAGATTTGGCATCACACAAATTTTTAAAGCTCTTTAGGTGGCTCTACTATACAGCAAAAGTACCTATTATATATCCTGCCAATGCTCATCCTGCATGGAGAGGTCCCTGTGCCACTTATCGCTCAGCCTGTTTCCTTTGCCTAAAACACCCTAGGGAGCCGTGAAGACTAAAGTCAGGGAGTGATGTGAAGACTTTACAATCCAACAGTTTTGGGGTTTAAATCTCAGTTCCAGTATTTCTTAGCCCCCCTGACCCCAGAAAATTCTCAGACTCAGTTTCTTTATATATAAAAAATGATTAGGCCAGGTGCAGTGGCTAATACCTGTAATTGTAACACCTTGGGAGGCCGAGATGGGGGGACTGCTAGAGTCCAGAAGTTGAAGACCAGCCTAGGAAACACTGTAAGACCCCACCTCTATAAAAATTTTAAAACTTAGCCAGGTATGGTGCCGTGCACCTGTAGTACCAGCTGAGGTGGATCAACTGAGCCAGGAGGTCAAGGCTGCAATGAGCCATGATTGAGTCACTGCACTCTAGCCTAGGTGACAGGATATGACCCTCAAAAAAAAAAGTGATTAACGGTCCCCTGCTCACACAGTTAATGTATGAACTCAGTGAGATAATTAATGCAAAGTGTTCTGCTTTCAGGGCTAGCATAAGAGTTCAATTAAGTACTGGCATTCATAATAAATCCCCTATTTAGAAAAACGACTCTTATACCAATATGAAGAATGGACTCAAATGGATGAAGGTGGAGGCAGTGTGGAAGTATTGGGGGTATAAAATCAAACTAAGAAGAAGGCAAAAAATTGCAAGAAGAGAACAGAATGAATGAAAGTTATTACAGAAAAAAAAATCACAAGGACCCAACAAAATATATTGGATACAGAATATGAGAGTAGGAAAAATCTTAAATAGCTCTGTTTTGAGCCAGTGTAGCTAGGAAAAGTACTGCCATGAGAAATAGGTGACACTTGAAGAGGGCAGATATGGAAGAAATGAGGAAATCATTTTTAGAAGTGTCTCTGAGGAAATACCACAGGATATTCCTCTGAATATGCCCAGCAGGTAGCTGAACAAATGAAACTAGAGCTTAGGAATGAAATGAAGCTGTGCCACCTTGTTCAAAATCTCTGCATTCTAAAATCCTCCTTCCTCACCACTAACTTCTCTCCTCCACCAATTCCCACTCACACTGAATCTCCTCACTCAATCTCTAGAGGTCTTAGGTAAGAATTCTCAAACTGGCAGCCCCCCCCCCCACACACACACACATTGTTTCACCCAAAGAAATGTTTCAAAAATTTTCTGAATTAGTTGTCAACATTTAAAAATTGTAAGAGTTCACATAAATTTCAACTTCCAGCTCCTCCTGAAAAATTGAAAATATCTGAGGAAAAAGTGAGCCCATAGTCCCACATGGAAACAATAAGCTGAAGATGAATAGCAGCTGGCATTATTAGGGAAGGAGTATGGCTGGTCTCTGGAGACTTCTGAGTGTGGTACCTCCTAGGACCTTTGTTTCTTCCTTTGATCTTCATAGTCCATGAGTCATATCCCAGCCTCACCTCCCTACCCTAGTCCAGACACGTGTATTTTAATCATATAAACATTTAAGGACTATTGTGCACCAGGCACGGAGCTAGAGAAACAAAGTTGAAAAGAATGCACCCTCTGCCCTCTGTCTACTCTGTCAGCCTCATATCCAGCCACACTAGCATATTCTCAATTCCATGAGCCACATGTGCTTTCCGTGCTTCCCAGAGCTTTGCACATGCTGTTCCTTCTGCCCCTAGAACTAAGCCAACCCCCTTCTCCTAATCATCCTTCAAGTCTCAAATGACGTTTCCTCATAGAGGCCTTCCCAGACTCCCCATTAGGTAGCGTACCATCTTCCCCTCTCACATGTTCCATGGCTCTTTCTCCCTTCTTGTACTTTCTCCATGTCTATCTCTAAGACCAGACTTCATCTTGTTCACCAATTAATTTCCAGTATCTAGCATAGCCAGACAAGTACTTCCATAAAACTTTCCATATGTGTCCTAGACACGTGTTGTTCCAACATGGCTCATTTTGCCAGCTTCCCCCGCTTCACTTCCTCCACTCTTGCTTCCACGGTAGAATTGGACAGACTATTGGGCACTCTCTTCTTAAATTTAAAACAGTTTTAAGCTGGAGGTGAGTGGATCAAATTCACGACGTTAAAAGAGTGTGCTGACTGCAGAGTGGAGAAAAAAGCTGGATGCGAAGAGTCCAGTTAGATTACTTCAGTATACCACTACTCCAGTTCTAGAACAACTTGGGATTCTACACATCTAACTGCGGTGTTCTGGTACCACATTTCATGGAACTTTCCACGCCTTCACTGAACACATAGCGGCAAACTACTGCGAAACCTCCGGACCCAGCTGCCCTCCACGAGACGCGTTCGGTGATATGCACTCCTCCCCACTGCGAGATCCCGAGACCTCAAACTCCCTCGGACTCTCCCAGTTGGGTCTAGGGCCACACTCGGCGCACCCAAGCCCGCCCTACCCGAGGTCCCACACGGGCCGTTCTGGGGTCAATGGTTCTTTGGAGAACCAAGAGGACCAAAGGAAGAGGGTAATTCAACAGGGGAGGACAGTTAAGAGGGAGCGAAAGGAAGAAGAAATCATGAAATGCAATGCCCGGCCAGGGAACTCCGAACAAGGAACAGGGAACAAGGTTTACCAAAGCGAATCCTGGAACACTCCCACTACAGCTGCCCTCAGCTCTTCAACTACCGGCTTAAATGAGCCACGCCCCTTGCGCGACAAAGAAAACGCACTATTCCTGCGACCAGCTGAGGAAACACCCCGCTACCAGACCAGCCAATCAGCTCAGTGAAGCCTTCGATTCAGACAGTCACGCTCCGAGCGGCCAATGAAATTGAAAGCTCTGCCCTCCATGCCCAACTCTGATTGGCTTACAATCCCGGAACAGGCGTTAACCCAGGGAAGGCAGTGTCAAGATGGCGTCCCTGGATCGGGTGAAGGTACTGGTGTTGGGAGACTCAGGTGAGCGTCTTACCCCACCTCTGGGGCTCCAGACACTTTTGAGTTACCCAATAACCCTCTCCTTACCTTCCTTCCCTCAACTTCCTGGCTTTTCGGCCCGTGGCTGAAGTCCCTCCGAAGTCCTGAAGACTACACTTCCCAGGGGACTTTGCTCCGTGAGACGACGCGGCGGCGGCGGCGGCGTCGCGCGGGTGGGGGTCGCGGAACCCGTGTCTTTTTCCTTCGCGACTTTCCACATCAGTCTCCCAGACGACTCTGGCCTAGAGTGTATTGTCAATTCTTTTATTTGGGGAAAAAAAAAAAAAAAAAAAATCAGGCATTGAGTATTGTATGGAGTTCTATGTTAAGGGTACAGAAGTTAGTAGGACCGTGCCTTCAAGAGACTTTGTTCATTAAGGAAGTCAAACGTGCACTGACAAACGTGAACTGGCAAGCGCTTCTCATACATTAACTCATTTAATTCTGAGATTAGTCCTATTATCACATTTTACGGATGAGAGTAGTGAGGCAGAGAGATGTGAGTGGCAGAATCCTTTTCAACGCAGAGTGCACAAACTTAAACGCTAAGTTGTAAATACGCAGTGACATATTGGGTGGTGGTCCTGTTTTATTCTTAACTGAGCTTCTTGACTTACTGGTTCTCGTTTGATCTTCATTGAAAACCTATTATGTCCTAGACTGTACGATAGAGAAATTAAAGTAAGAGTTTTATTCTGAAGCAGCTAGGGTTTAACGCTGAGCCGAATTTAATCCTAGTGTTAAAATTCTTTTTTCTTTTTTTTTTTTTTTAATCTCAATGGATGCAAAAAAAAATTCTTTTGACCCCTGGGACATTTGAGAACTACAGCTGACTTCTGGATTTCCAGCTCCCACCTCACTGCCCTTATCTTTTCTTCCATAATCCCCAGTTCATCTCTCCTTAGTAACTTCAATAAATGCTGAACTTGCATTTTATGGATGTGCTCTTCTGGAGTTGGCCTAAGAGCATGTGTTGTGAGCAGAGACGTTGTGCTAGATGCTTGGAGGTGGAGAGGCTTGAAAACTAGCTTAACAGAAACTAAGTAAAATTGTGGCCGGCAAAGATAGGTTAAGACTGTTTTCACATTGCCCTGAGTATTATTTGCATTATGAAATATTTTACAGAGAGCATTATTTAATATTCCCCTAAGAAAGTTGCCTTTTGAAACTCAATGAACATAATCACAATTTATGTCGACTTCATTTCTATCAGCCTGAAGTGGTGCCAAAGTTAATTTAATAAAATCACTCAGTTTTACAGATAAAGAAAGTAATGGTGGCCTAAAGGGACTTCGCAAGAGTATCACTGAGTAGAATTTAGAATCCAGGACTAACAGACTTCTTCACGATATGTTAAGTGGGTGTTTTCTGTCCTCTATAATTCCATTTTCTGTTGTATGTAACAATCCCTTCATATTACAAACTGCTGCAACTAGTCAATTTATTTTCTTTCCAGCAGGCACTGTATTAGGTTCTGGGGTTATAACTGTGGAATTAATGCATCATATAACAGGGGTAGAATTAGATGCTACATTAAATGTGGAAAAGTAATCAGGCAATTGATAAGCTTCACTACCCACCCCCCCACCCTTATGGTTTAATTGTGAAGCAGAAGACACAGCTGTGATGGCCAGGAAAGTGATTGATGTTGTCACACATTCATTAATGTTAACCTTTATGTGCAAAGTTAGCTATTGTCTTATCTTTTTAAAAGGTAATTTTGTCAGTCTCCTTTTAACTGTCATTTAATAGTTCACAGTCTGACAGGTTAGAATACACTTTTTACACTTCCTCTGCCTTTGTTTCAAACCTGAAAGTTTATTTTTAAATAAAGACCATTTCCCTCATAAAATTTTGAGGGTTTCACAAATATATAAAGAAATGACTTAGCCAGGCAAGGTGGCTCTTGCTTATAATCCCAGCACTTTGGGAGTTTGAGTCGAGTGGATTGCTTGAGCTTAGTTCAAGACCAGCCTGGGCAACATGGCAAGACCCTCTCTCGACCAAAAACAATACAGAAAGTTAGCCAGGCATGGTGATGCACGCCTGTAGTCCCAGCTACTCAGGAGGCTGAGGTGAGAAAATCAGTTGAGCCTGGGAATTTGAGGCTGCAGTGAGCTAGGATCATGCCACTACACTCTAGTCTGGATAATAGAGTGAGACCCTATCTCAAGGATAAAAATAAAAAGAAGAAAGAAATGAGTTGATATTTGTAGATTTGTTTTCTATCCTATTGAGATATTTGGTAATTTGGTGAGGAACCCTGAAAGTCTTACTACCATCTGGTTTTCTCTTTCTTTCAGAGATTAGGGACTAGTTTAACATGTTACCAAATAGCTGTATTTGGAGCTGACATTTATTTATATTGGGACTTTTTTCCCCCCAAGTACGTCAAGTGCATTCTTTTGATCCAATTTAGTTCTAAAGGTGAAAACATAGAATCAGAAGCTCCCAAAATTCTTAAAGAAATGAAATTAGCCATTATTCCCTAGCACTTCAACTGTTCTTACTGTTTAGGGTTTCATCCCGTGTTAGCTAATACTTAATCACCCAAAGCAGTTAATTCATGGAGAGCTATACTATTTTACTGCCTAGAAATGTTTACCCTAACACAATTAAGCTAAATTAGCCCTCAAGTGTTGCATCAAGCAATTAAGTGGCTAGATACATTCCTTGAACATAAACAAACCTATTTACAAATACAGAATCAACGGTATATCCTAAAAGTTACAGATATCAGATACAATGCAGTAAACTCAATGACAAATATAATTTTGAGTGTTTAAAAATCTTGAATGTTTCTATGTAAAAAAATTAAAAGAATGAAGGGAAGCCTGGTAAAATGTTTGATTCAATTACACATACATAAAGTGATTAATATATTTAATAGATAAAGAGCTCATATAAATTAATAACACTAAAACCCGGTAGATAAACGTACAGAACAGATCCACAGAGAATTTATGAGAGGAAAAACAACTGATTTGCCAGGATAATCATAATGATAATCTTTGATCTTTATCAGAAAGTAAAGAAATGCAGACTAAAGTAAGATGTCACTCCCCCCCTGCCACCGAGACAGAGTGTTGTTCTGTCACCCAGTCTGGAGTGCAGTGGCTGATCTCAGCTCACTGCAGCCTCCACATCCTGGGTTAAAGCAGTTCTGCCTCAGCCTCCCAAGTTTCTGGGCTTACAGGTGCCCACCACCACGCCCAGCTAATTTTTGTATTTTTAGTAGAGACGGGCTTCACCATGTTGGCCAGGCTGATCTCGAGCTCCTGACCTCATGATCTGCCTGCCTCGGCCTCCCAAAGTGCTGGGATTATAGGCGTGAGCCAAAGCGCCTGGCCAAGATGTCTCTTTTATTCCTTTATCAGGTTAACAAAGATGAAAAACCAACTACATGATACTGTTGAGGTGCAACAAGACCTGCAGGCTCAAGTGTATGGCTGGTGGCAGCATAACCCCATGAAGTTATTTGTCAATACATATCTAGAACTTCAAATGTTTCCTTTTAAGTACTGAGTTTACTTCTGGGGAGGTATACTAAGGACATAATTTTAATTTTAAACAAAAGTTTAAACAGAAATAACCTTTCACTAGCATATCAAAAATTTCAAAACACCCTAGATATCTAATAACAGAAGAATGGTTAAGTAAATTTTTATGCCTACTCTTTGAAGTACTATGGAGATACTTTAAATGTTTATGAAGATTTTGGAATAATATGGAAACTTTTAGTCAATAAATTCTAATTAAGGTTCTGATCTAAGTACTGAAGATAAAAAAGATGCATGAGAACCCTAAAGGAACTTAAAATTAAATAGAGTTGATAAAACCTATAAACAAACACATGTGATCATGTATTTTAAGTGCTCTGTAGGAAAATGTACAGGGTACAGTGGAAGCCCAGAGGATAGTGGATGTTAATGCTTAGTTCTCCCTGTGTGGGGTCAGAAAATACTTTATAACTAGAATGATGCTGAGTCTCCAAAGGTAAATTCACCAGGCCAGTGTGGGAGGGGAGGGAAAGGAGAGGATGGGTAGGATATTCCAGACAGAACAAGCTATGGAAGCAGAGGCTTATGTTGTTTTATTGTTTTTAAGTATACTGTGTATATAATCACAATAACCACCTGCTCATAGAAAAACTTTTCATGTGGAATTAAATAAACCTTCATGTTGACAGTAGTCCTAAGGTGATTTTTTTTTTTTTTTTAAAGAGAGACAGGGTCTCACTCTGTCACCCAGGCTGGAGTACATCAGTGTGATCATAGCTCACTGCAACCTCCAACTCCTGAGCTCAAGGGATCATCTGCCTCAGCCTGCTGAGTAGCTAGGACTACAGACGCAGGCCACCGTGCCTAGCTAATTTCTTTAATATTTATTTTTTGTAGAGATGCAGTCTTGCTATGTTGCCCAGGCTGGTCGCAAACTCCTGAGCTCAAGTGATCCTCCTGCCTCAGCCTCCCAAAGCACTGGGAGTACAGATGTGAGCCACCGTGCCTGGCCTTCATTTGTGCATACTTTCTAGGTTGTAAATGTAACTTTTAATAATAAAAATTAACATAAACAATAGGTTCATACACAGTAGGATCAAAGACATGATCTAAATTTTTGATAAAACTAGTGATTTGTAAAAATACCAACCATGTTTGTCATAATGGAACCCCAAAAATGCTGTTAAATGAATGCGTGAGTGACTCCACACATGGATGTAGAGGAAGAGCTCATTCCCTTTCCTCTTGATACAAATCTCTGAATGCTATCCTTAGCATTAATAACTAGATTTCCCTAAGCCCAAGAAATCGAAAAGAAGATCAAATGGTGACTTAAAGGGACATGATGTAGAAGAGGGAGTTGATCTTTTTTCCAAAAGGTAAGTCTGGGCTAAGTGATTGGCTGCTTTTTTTAAATCACCATGTGGGAGAACTGGAGTGTCTAAATTTAGAATTGTGAAATGGTGAATCCCTCTCACTGACAGTATTCAAGCTCAGTCTGGAAGACCGAAGACCCTCTAACAGGATGCCATGGAGGGGACCTCAGCGTTGGTGTGAAGGAGAGAGGGATTACTTCTAAGATCTGTTGAGATTCTACAATTCTAAAATAGGCTAAATTGATGAAATCATTCAAAAGGAAAGGGATTCATTAATATGAAATTGCCCTAGACCAGTGGTTCTCAAAGTGAGACCCCTGGACCAGTATCAGTATCACTTGGGAACTTGTTAGAAATCTTGGTCCCCAAGACAGACCCTCTAAATCAGAAAGTATGGGGGTGGAGCCCAGCATTCCATGTTTTAACCCACGCTCTGGGTGATTCTGATACTAAATTTGAGAGAACCACTGCCTTTTACCATCTTCACTTTATTCAGTGAAGCTTATATTGTTGGTTGGCATTCTAACAACTATGTTTTACTTAACATTATTCCTGTGTAGTATTAGTCTTACCCTTTCCAAAACAGATTTCAGCATCGTCTCTTACATGACTAGAGTTCTTATATCTCTTACAGGTGTTGGGAAATCTTCGTTAGTCCATCTTCTATGCCAAAATCAAGTACTGGGAAATCCATCATGGACTGTGGGCTGCTCAGTGGATGTCAGAGTATGTGTCTTTTATATTTTAGTTTTTCAATAATTGTACTAAAGATAACTGCTTCAGGTTACATGATCAAATTACAGTACTATGGTCAAGATTAATAGTAATAGCTAGAATTTGTTACATTCATACTATGTGCCAGGTACTATGCCAGTTGCTTTACGTGTCTCTTCTTATTTCACCTTTTTAAAACCGAGATGTGTAGGTGCAGAAACTAAGGCAAAGTCAAGATTTGAACAGTTTGATGCCACAGACTTCAGTTTTAATCACTATGCTATTTATCTAGAGTTCACATAGCATCCTCTGTAAATAATTCTGCCTAAGTTTGTGCTATTAAGACGGCAAGCTTTCAGCTAGAAATATAATGCAAAGGCAAAAACTCCTGGAGCTTCATGTCTGGGTCATTTGTTCCATCTTGTGTTTAGGAATTAGGTATAGTTTTAATTAAATTAAATATCTTCCCAGATATCATTGGTCCTTGCTAATGCCAGCTAGTTCTGACAAGTCTCTCATCTGCTGGCACACCTCTCTCCTTTATGTTAAGAAACATAGGGAAGGCAACGTAGTTGGCTAGATTGATAGTTATTTTCCTTCTGTTCTTTGAAACTATTGTTCCATAGCTCTGATTTACATTGCTGCTGATTAGAAATCTTCCATCAGACTAATTATTATTCCTTTTTATGGTAATTTCTTCTTTGGTTGCTTTTAAAATATTTTTTCTGTTTTTTAATCTTTGATATTTCGTTGTTTTACTAACCTGTATCTAGGTGTAGGTTCGTTTTTATCCATCCTATTCAGAAGTAGTCATGGTTCTCATGTCTTTATTCTTCAGAATTTTAAGTCGTTATCTGTCTTCCCTCATTTCTTCTATCCCTTCCTCTTGGCTTTCTATGAGATTTTTGTTCTTCATAACTGTTAATATTTCTCCTTGCTGCCTTCTGGATGGTGTACTCATATCTGCCTTCCAGTTAACTAAGAATCTCTTCAATTATATCCTATCTGCTTTTTAATATATCTACACTGTTTTTCATCCCAAGTACCTATACTTTTTAATTTCTAGATGTTCCTTTTAGTTCTTTTTAAAATGTAAAAATTTTCCAAAATGTCCTGATCCTTCATTATGGTGTCTGCTTTTTATTTTAATCATTTCTAACATAGTTATTTTTTTCTGGAGGAGAGGTAGCTATGCTTCTTGCTGTATATGCTACTCTGCTTCATGGAAATGTATCTCCTTGTATGGCTTGTAATTCTTTAAGATGATCACATCTTCAACAGGATTTTTTTCCTCTCCCTTTGGAAGTGCTGTATGCTATATTGTGAAAGTATCCCTATACAGTGCCTTTTCATTTCTGTCATTGCCAAGACCCTAAGGATTTCAATTTCTCAGCTCAGATAATGTAAATCTAGGTAATGTATATTCCCCCAGCATCTGATTGCAGCACAGACCTGTAATTTCCAATTCTTGTGGACCATTTATCTTCTCTACCTTCTGTCTGATGCCTCTGACTGAAAGTTTTTGCCATTTCCCTGAGCCTGTGGACAATGTTTTTCCACCTCTCTTTTCACAGGACAGCTCATCAAAGGTCCAGATTTCAAAAAGGCAACTACAGTCTAGTCTTCTTCACTCATCCACATATACTTTTGCCTTGAATGCTGGAAAACAGGTCTGCTATTCCTGGATGGGCATTAAGACTCCAGGCACCAGCCCTGAAGCTATATCTGAATCTATGTCAGTTCCCACTTCTCACTCTGATTTTAAGTTTTTTCTTCATTTCTAGCATTTGGGGATATTCCTTTCTTTCTCCTAACTTTCTCTTGAGCTAGTCTTCTCTGTCTCTCCTCTGTCTAGTCTTTCTGTCTCAAAATATTTTTATAGCATTTCTATAAGTTTGAAGTAGGAGCTGACCTATTTTGTGTCATTTTGGCCAACCATATTCCTAAATTCAGTGGCAACTTTATTTAGGTTTGGGAGACCCAATAGCAAGTTCTGGACAAATTTTCCCTTTGGATTTTTCTAGCTCCCATTCTGTGAAAGAGCATGACATATTGAAAAGAAACTTGGATTTAAACCCTCACCTCCTGAGTCAATTGCCCTTCACTTCTGAAAGAGTGACCTTAGACTAATCAGTTTACCTCTTTGAGGCATAGTTACATCATCTGGAAAACAGAGGTCAATAATATGTGCTTTATTGAGTCTACAGGTTTGTAGGAAGGATCAGAGAAGCTTAGTAAGAGGGAAGTTGTGGTCTAGTGCTTTACAATGTGAAGTTGTAATTGAACTTTAGTCCAATTTTCTGCCCCTTCCCTGCCTTCTGCCCTACTCCTTTTTCCTATCCCCACCCAGCATGCATTCTATTCATGTTGTTCACCTCTTGTCTTGGTTTTCTTTCCCGCTTGTCCTACTGAATTAGCTAAAACTCCAGTACCATGTTGAATAGAAATGGCACCAACAAGCATCTTTCTTTCATTCCCATCTCATGGGAAATTTTCAGTATAACACTATTTAGTAAAGTATTTGCTAGAGGGTTTTTATAGGTATATTTGATTAAAGAAATGTCCTTCTATTCCTATTACAATGAGAGTTTGTATCATGAATGGGTGTCGAATTTACCAGTCGCCTCTTCATGATAATCATGATTTTCCTGATTTATTCCATTACTGTGGTAAATTATGTTGATTAATTTTTTTGAATGTTAAACCAACCTTGCAGTCCTGTAATAACTCTAAATATGCTTAATTTCCAAACATTTGACAATGTTTATTATCTTTTAATGATTGATTTCAGTTAGCTTTCATTGTGCTTAGAGAATATACGCTGTATACTTTCATCCTTTGAAGTTTGTTGGGATTTGCTCCATGTCCAATTTTATGGTCAATTTTGATAAAAATTTCATATTCTCTTGAAAACAAAGTATATTATGTAATCGTTGGGTGCAGTGTTCTAAATATGTGGTAATCATTTTTTAAATCTTCTCCATCTCTATTGGGTGGGGGGTTTTTTTGGTCTGTTTTTTCCATCAATTGCTAAAGAATGAGTAATATAATCTCCAACTATAAGTGTGAATTTGTCTATTCCTCATTTTAATTCTGTCCATTTTTCATTTATATACTTTGAGATTATATTACTAGATGAGTACTAATTTATGATTGTTTGAACTTCCTAAAGCGTTTAACATTTTATTGTTTTAATATGCCCCTCCCTATATCTGGTAATACATTGTACCTTGAAGACTATTTTGTCTGATATTAAAATAGTTAAAGCCAACTTGTTTTTAGTTAGTGCTTGTGTGGTTTACCTTATTTACATATTTCAACTTTCGTACTTTCTGTGTCCTAACATTTATGGGATATCTCTTATAAGTAAGATACACTAAATTTTGTTTTGATGACCAGTCTGACAGTCTTAGTATTTTTATTTGGTTCTTGAGCCTTGCCCCCAGATATTCTGACTCAGAGTTATGATTGGTGCCCAAGCATCTGCATTTTAAGAAGCATCTTGATGATTCTGTTGTAGGTGAATAATGCCTTGAGAAATACTGGGTAAGGTGTGGAATCAGATCGCCAAGTGGATATAGAAGTGTTTAATGACAGGACTTATAGAACAGAGTGACAAGACTAAGAATGAGATGCTAATAGGAAGCTAGTACATATTAACGATAAGACAAGGAGGGAAGGGAGTATAGCTGATGGTCCAGAGCATCTAAAGAAGACAGATTTTTAATATAAGAGTAGAGGAATAACACACTAGAAGTAGCTTTGGAGAGTAAGCAAGGCATTTCCTATTTTCTGAACTCCAAGGTAATTAGAATATTGAAAAGTGAACAGCATCTATCTGAGAGGACATAAGAAGTTGTGTTTTCAAGGCAGAAGCAGAGATTTGTTAATAGAATGAGACTGAGGGTAGGATATAATGGAATTTTGTAACCGTGGAGTAAGATTCCAGGAGAAAAGTGGAAATATTTGGAGAAGAAAACAATTAGGAGTTTAATGATGGGTAGAGGAAGCAAAAGCAGTCTGGGAATAAGAATATGAGAGACCAATTAAGGACCCAATATATATAGTAACAGAGGATAACAGGGATATAAATATCTTGAGTATAGCTGGTGGCAAAGTTTCCAAAAGAAACTTTATCTCAGCAGTCCCCTGTATGTGAGAGTGGAGACTTGATTTTGTCTGCAAGGAATGCTTTTGTGCAAAGTCCCAGAGAGCAGGCCAACATGAGATTACTAGTTAGTTCTCAAGACGCTGACCAAGTTTTAGAAGTAACAGCAGTAATTCCCTTTAGAAACTTCTGCTTTGGGGCCGGGTGCAGTGGGTCACACCTGTAATCCCAGCACGTTGGGAGGCCAAAAGTCATTGGATCACATGAGGTCAGGAGTTCGAGACCAGCCTGGTCAACATGGTGAAATCTCATCTCTACTAAAAATACAAAAATTAGCTGGGTGTGCTGGCACACACCTGTAATCCTAGCTACTCGGGAGGCTGAGGCAGAAGAATCGCTGAATCTAGGAGGCGGAGGTTGCAGTGAGCCGAGATCAGGCCACTGCACTTCAGCCTGGGCAACAGAGCAAGACTCTGTCTCAAAAACAAAACAAAAAGTAAAATGTCATATAATTATGTGACTGGGTGTGCTGGAATGGGTGTGGCACTAATTGATTCCTTTAAAGACAGTCTTACCTGAATTGTATTATTGTGGAAGAATGGGACACAGCTGAAAATGACTTGCTTTACTGTTCATTGTATCTTAAGCCAGTTGACTTCTGTTTTTTTTTTTTTTTTTTTGTGGGGGTTTTTTTTTTTTTTTCCCCAGGCTAGAGTGCAGTGGTGCGATCTCGGCTCACTACAACCTCCACCTCCCAGGTTCAAGTGATTCTCCTGCCTCAGCCTCCCAAGTAACTGGGATTACAGGCATGTGCCACCACGCCTGGCTAACTTTTTTTGTATTTTGAGTAGAGACAGTGTTTTACAATGTTAGCCAGGCTGGTCTCAAACTCCTGACCTCAGGT